ACAGCAATTTGTTTGGAGTAGAAGGACTGGAGAATGATGCTTGGTGGCACTGTGAACCTTTGTACACTGGTTGCAGTGTCAGCATATGAACAGTGTAGAAGTTTCCAACAGAGCTGGTAGAAAATGGGAAAATGGTTGGCCAGGGAGTTTTCCTGGAAATGCATTTTCAGCAGAATCCAGCAGCTCTGTGGTGTGTGGTGACTTCAGTGAAACTTGATGAATTTATAAACTGTTCTGAACTTCTCATTTTGCTTCTGCACTACTGTCAGTCCCCACTAAGAACTGCAGTTTTATATGATATAAACTTTGATTAGACTTTGATTAAACTTTGATAGAGACTTTGATTAATAGCACTGTATGGAGAAGCCAGAACAAACTCCGCAAAGGCTGATGAAGAAAAAATTGTCAATGCGATAAACAATGAGAAGCTAATATATAATTTATACGTGTTAATTAATACAGTAAAAATAATGTAATCTGTGGTAAATCCAGGGAGAAATCTTGTCTATCTGCTCATCTAGGTGTAGCTAGAACATCGTGCCCTTGAATAAGACAATAGTAACTTATGTTAACAGATGGACGTCTCTTTCCAATCAGATGGTCAGCAGGATTTTTTGCTTGCTGGCTTTTAATCGTTTTAAGATGAGAAGTCTTTCTAAAATCAAATGGCATAGTGGGAAAATCAAAGTAAGTAAAAGGAGAGTGCCAAGGGATGACTGCTGGCCTGTGGACAGGATTCCAAAATGAGATGCCCTGACCTTCCTTACGCATTCTGATGCTGTGTCCCCCTTGCCTCCCCAGGTCTGTCACTACCCATATGTGACAACCCCCGTCCTGGGGAGTACAGCTGGATCCTGCTGAGCCTCAACCAGGTTAGCAATGGGGAAAATAAAAGTGTGTGAGGGACCCAGTGTTCAGCCAGTGACGTGACAGGAGCCTGCAGGCTGGGTAGGAACTTTTCATGATTAAATTAGAGGTTTTCAAGGGCACCCTGCATGAAGTTGGCTTCAAATAACCGGAATAACCCCACTAAGTGAGCTTGTTCATCCAGGTCTGTCTATCACTTTGTCATCCCTAAGACCTGTCAAGCCAGCAGAGCAAATGCAATGAGATGTGACCATTATGCTGGATGTCCAGAGACACAACCAAGGAAGAGTCTTGTAGGCTTTAGACTGCTCTTATTTTGTCAGCAAATTTGACTGATACTTAGTCTATGGTAGTTTATTGTGAAAGAGCTTGTTTTTATAGCAAAGACTGTGAAACTACTGCTTATTTGCTAAATGGCTTGAGGGATGGAGGCATTTATAAGGGAATTACTTGCAGCCTTCTGAATTTATTGAGATAATCTCTGTGACTTGAAGGTAGAGCCAGTGCAGAATCTGACTGCCCAGCCCTGGGAGCAGAATGAAAAACATGGGGCAAAGGGCCCAGGTCCCCAGGGAGTTTCAGGCTGTGGGTGTAAGTAGGCTGGCACTGAGGTCAGTAAGCCCACCCCAGCCACCAGGCTATTGTTGTTACACTGTTTCTGACAGGTGAACTAGGTCATCTGCAAGTGGTTCAGACACTTCTGCCCACACATATGCCCTTATGCAAAGAGATGCAAGTTGAGCATCAGTTGTTTCAGTGGACTTTCTGCCTTTGCTCGCCCCACATGCAGAGCCATCCGATTCATCATACATTTCCCACCTAGAATAGGACCAGTGAAGCTAGTGACTGCCACCATGAAGCTGCTTAGGGCAGGATTGTCCTACAGGGTAAGTAAGGGAGAGGAAAAAGAAAAAAAAAGGCAAAAGAAGAAAAAGACAATGCAGTTTGAAAGTGCTGCTGGTTCAGCAGAGAAGTTCCTGTGGTAGTGCTGTGTTCAGAGCAAAGGCAGGAGAAACAGACTCCCATGAGGAAAAGACTGAGGAATTACTTATTTCAAGGCACATCTGTCTTCTAGAGAGCAGATATTTCTTCAAACTTAAAGGAACCACCTGAGTGGAAAAGGTGGAGGTAATAGGGGATTTGCACAGCTCCAGTTTAGTCCAGCATCAGACTGAAGTTGTTTGTCTTCTTGAGGAATTAGTGCTGAGAAATCATCAGCTTCCCCCATATGCAATTTCATTCCTTTCACTGAGGCAGGACCTGGCTGCTGGTTGTAGGCAGAATAAGAAAGATCATTGCCTCTATTTGTGCCAGTTTTGGTGAAATCTCAAAAAAGAATCAGGTTTTTAGATTATAATTTAGCTACTCTTCTATTAATACTCAGGTATCTCTGGGTGACGACACAGAAGAAAGATGTCAATCATGACTATTGATGGCCTCTTCCATAAGCTGCACCATCATGGTACAGTGGTACATAATCTTTGCTAGAAGTTTACACTGCAGTTTTTTAATTCATACTTGGGGAAACCAGGCAAGTGCTAAAGGATCCCTGTGGTGCATCCTCCGGCCTTTTGAAGTGGCCCTCGCTGCAGTGTATGGAAGATTGAGAGAGAAGGTTTTGCACACATTGCACATGCTTGTGTGCTTTTCTTACCTTGATTAGCAGGGTTTAGTTACTGAAATAAGAAATTATCCATACTAAGCCAGCCCCCATTACAAAACTTGGAATCTTCAGTCACACTGACAGCATTCTCCTGTTGGGAATGATGCTATTTTGGTGCATTTGGAATGAAAAATATACAATTTCATAAATAAAATACTTAAAAGTTTTTCCTGCAGTCATTAATGGTTTGATATTAGAAATACCCTGCTATAGGCAATTCATTTCCCATGCCAAATTTGTGGTTTGTGAAAGTCATATACTTTTAAGAACATGGACCAGTGATGTCATTTAACAATTCTCATAAAAACTTTGTACTGCATGACAGAGAGCTAAAAGAACAATAATAAAAAACAAGCAGCATTCTCTAAAGAAATAAAATCAATCAAACACCCTGTTTATTGATCCACGTTAGAAATCTCTCTAACAGGCTCAGTGAGTGGACAGCTAGCTGAAGCATATACCTTATGGCTGGACCTTTTAAAACACCCAGTTGTAGCATGATACCACTGAGAGAAATTATGCTCTCCTTATGCAGCCTCACAGGAAATCCAGCATCCTGTGGTACAAAGCATTATCCTTAATATTTATTTAAAAAAGGAGAGAGAACAGAGAAAGGATTTTCACAGCTGGCAAGGTACTAAAATATATTAGCTTTCATCAGGAGAATATAATGGTACTACTGCTTAAGGAAATACTACAACCATGTTTAATTTTTTTAGTTTCTTTAAATTGAGCCTTTTCTCCTTGGAAGATGGAAGAAAATGGGGGAAGAGAGGATAAGTAAATATTTTCAACCTTCTCAGCTGAAATACATAATTATAGTTTTATTCCTTTTTGGTTTCTGATACACAGATTTCACAGAGCTGATTGTAGGCTTCAGGAACCATTTTTTCCTTTTAAATTGAAGCATTTCAGGTCTTCTCTAATTAACAACCACTTGCAGAGTGTATCACAGGCTTAGTGTGTACTCATCAACCACATTTCTCAGAGACAGATCTGTTCTTGCACTAAAATGAGGGCGAAAGGCACTCTGTATTATTAGTTTATGAAGATAGTTAAATTACATCTGACCATACAATATTCTGCCTATGTTCTTCTCCTAAGTGTCTCTCTGGACTCACTTTTTCTGGGGAGACAAAGCTTCTCGAAGTGATAATACCTTCTCCTGAATGATAATAGTTCAAACTGGTTGGTGTGGGGCGTTATCATTTTGAGAAATAGCTGGAGGAAGTGCTTAGGCAAACTTCCTTATACAGAGCACCAGCTAATCAAACGAGAAATTTTGGTTTTCTTTTCCCCTTAAGGTGACAGAGTTTTAGATCTAAAGAAACAAAAACACAGTAAGAAGGACAGCTCCTTCATAGATGATACTGTTCAAAGAGGAGGTAAAGGAAAAGCCTCTGGTTTATCCACAGGAAACTGCCCAGGATCAAGGTCTTCACACAGTTACCCACTTTGTGCCCAGTCCTTTTTCACCCAATCAGACTCCCTGAATGTTACTCATAATAAGCTGACCGACCCAAAATTTCTCAGAGCAAGGTGCTGTCACATTTTTATCTTGTATAGTGCAAGCACACGAACTGTTTCTTAAAAACAAATGACAGAAAAGCTGCATTCCCTTCCTCCCTCTGTCCCTCTGCTTCTCTGCTCCTCCTCTCTGCACTCCTCACTGCCTCACAGCATTTTTGTTACCTTCTGGATCTCAAGTTCTCATTCACTTCATTCGCTTGCTAAAAATCTCTGTCCAGGTGCAGCCATAAGGCAAAACAATGGGAAAATACAAAAGGACAGCTGTCAGGTAGCCAAAAGTAGCATCAAAAAAGCAGTAGAGAATGAGATATTCTAATATCTGTATCACCTGACAAAACTGTATGGCAGGACATATGCATGCATTTACCATTTTAAAGAAGTAATCACACTTGCTGAAAGCATCAACCTTGGAAGGAAACACAGAGTGTGAAGCAATGAGTACTGCTCAGGAGATGACATGAGACTCAAGAGAACTGGTGGACACAAACATTGGCATTTTCTTCACAGAATAGCTGTTATCTTCTGTACCATCTTCTGTTTTGCAAAATGCCATATGAATCTCATTACTGCAGTTTGGAGGGTTTTGAACATTCACAGAAAGAAGCACAGGGAGAAGAGCAATAGCTTGATTGATGCAATTTTCACATTGGCCCAGTGGATAATCAGAAGAGCTCTTCTATTACAAGGACATGCAGAAAGCAAAACATTATAAATCCTACCCACAACCCAGGGCCATTAAGAAATGCTAAAAAACCCTCTAACAACACAGGCTTTCTTGACAGAATCATTGTTAACAGCTCAATACCAGCTAGCAGGCAAGATCCGCTCTTATGCCAGGACTACAAGGCACACAGCAGTTTGAAAGAAGGATAAATATGTATGTGTGGAAATTACATCTTAAAAAAAATATAAAAAACAAATAGATTAAATGAACCCCTACCTTGGAGAGCCTGGAGTGTACGAGTCTGTACAACAATACAGAGTTGCAGGACCAGCTGTGGTGCACTTTCCAGAAACGTGGCTAGCAAATGCAGCATACTCACATCTGCATACTCATACACCATTTTCCAATAAAACCGCCATCTGTCATTCTCTCCACTCTGTCGACTCCGGATACCCAAGTACATTGTGTGAAAATACCTAGAAATAAAAAAGAGTGGTTATAGAAATGCAGAGTGATATTTTACGGGTTATACCTCTGCTTGAAAATAATACATTTTTCAATGTACTTCAAAATAATGAACATTTATTTAAAAGGATTGTTGTATTTCAGTTTATAATAGTTGATGTGATAAGAGTAAACTAAACTGAAGACAAGACAAACCCTCATAAAGCCATTAAGAAAGCTTAGCATTGTCTTATTTGTTAAATAGTGTTTCTTTCAAGGACCCAGTTTTCTGATTTGAAATGTAAGGGTGATATCTTGATTATATGGCCTTCCTCAGAAGTTTTTGAAATAAGGAGGGGAACAAAACTGACTTTTTAATGGTCTCTACTCAGAACCTGCAAATAGTCTCCTTTCTGCATAGCTCTATGAGGACTTCAAGGACCCCATGCACCGCAAAGCTTGGGTGGAGCCCTGCTACGGCCTGGAGCCCTGCTATGGCTGAGCTCATTGTCCTGCTTTTCCACCCATCAAATGCACTGAGTATTGTATTCTAGATACTGCCAGATATATAGTGGGTTTTTTTTCTCATAGTTTGATTATTTTAGGAGGAGAGAAGATGTAGCTGTGAGTTCTTATTTTAGGAGGAGTGGAGATCTGGCTGTGGGTTCCCTTGGTGATTAGAAATGACTCACTACAGTAGCTCCTATGCAGCAGCAGCAGTAAGAAGCAGCAGGAGCCAGGAACCCAACAGGCTGTTGCTGCTCAGAGTAGTAACCAGCAGATAAAGGAAGCAATAGTCAGAAAGCACATGTCAGCACTAGTGACCTGTGCAAGCAACGGGAAATACAAATGGCAGCCAGCCCATTACACAGATTTTGGCTGGTGCAGGAACGACGAGTGGTTTTAGGAAACAAGGGATGTCTTCTGATGGCCAGGCCACCCAGCTGCTGTGGTGCCTGTCATGACCCTTGCAGTTTGCAGTGGTCTGCCATAACACACCTGAATCGCAGCACAGCAAGGTGGCCTTTGATTTGCTCTTTTACTCTGATCTGCTCTCTGTTATTCTGTGTCAGAAAGTCTAGGCTCCCACCTTGTCCCTACAATTTTAATTCCACACTAATTAAGACTGGCTGAAAAAAACCCAGTGTTGCTTAATGAAAAATTCTGAAGATTAAGGTATTGTCTTGCATCAGGGTGCCTTGCATCCTGCTGGAGTGCCCTGGTGAGCTACTAACTCATGTGGATCTCTGTTTCTCTTTTTCTCAAGGCATCTTTCATATCCTAGTCCTGACAGCATTTTCTTATGATGTTTTTAATATGTTTTCATAGCATTTTTTAAGTGAGATTATATTTTATAATACGAACAATTTTAATAAATTTTAACCAGTTTCAATATGAATTCTTTTAATTGGTTAAGATAAAGTCTTTCAGTATTTCTTCTTTTCACAAGTTCCTGTCTTAAAAGCCTTTTCATAACTGGTGGAGCATTGTGAATTGTGAAACCTCTTTTATATAGGTTGCATGCAAACTTTCATCCCTACTCTGTTCAGCTGTAACTCTGGAGGTATCTGCTGATGAGATTTTTGGCCTCTGACTGGCAAATAGCCCAAGACTGAGTTGCCCCCTTGAAGAATGACACTGTGCTTGTACCCAATGAACCCTTGTATTCAATGCACTTTTGTACCCAATGTGCACACTACTGCAGAGTGACAGCTTTATTCAGAAGTATGCACCAAGTAAAACCAGGACTAGCACAAAGAAACAGCTGAGAGGCCAGATCTGAGCCTGCAGCATTTCTCTTGACAATGCACATCATAGCAATATAAAAGGAAAACACATTAAACTCACATTTAGATTAAAATCACACCAGGTGGCTTTGAATTTTGTCAAAGTCCCATGTGGAGTGAAGCAGCAATGAACTGCTCAGAGACTGAGACCACAGAGGTACAGTGAACAAGACACCAGCTGTAACTCTCACACAAAACACTGAGCAGGTCTGGATGGGTCAGAGTGTGATGGGATAACTGGGGCTCTCTGATGTCTTTGGGTTTAGGTACAGTGAAATGGCCTGCTGTCCAGACCCGAAAGAAGCCACTGGGCTGGAAAGGCTCCTTTTGCTGCACAGTTCTGTTAATGGGGTCCATTGGACCCACAGGTTCTCAGTCACAATCCATTTAATTGTTCCTAGACCTCTCATTAAAGTCCTGCAGTGCAACAGGGACAGGTAAGACTTGTATTTCCTTCTGCAGTTTATTTTTTGGATGGGGTTTGTTTGTCCTACCTAACATGTCACTTTCAAGGGGCACACCTTGGAATATTGCACAGTGGGGGCAGATAGCATTTTCAGCATCCTTCTTTTAAGCTATCACTAACCCTTGCTATAAATTCCTAAAGTAGCTGTGGTTGCTGAAGGTTGTGCCAGGAGGCTCTAGCTCTGCCAGTGGAGCCATCTGCAACCTCAGTTCTACAGCATTTGTGAAAAAAATACTTTTCCTATTACAAAAATGACATACTGTGCCAGGCGAGGTTCCCCAGGGTTCTTTACCTGCTCTGCAGAGTGGTTGTGCATGGCAAATATGTTGTGATTAATGAACCCATATGGAAATATTTCCTCTCCCATTGCACTTTATTGTGAAACACTGGCAGTGAGTTATTGGGGACTGGGGAATCATTGCTCTTTGTCTACTTAGCTCTCTGCAATTTAGACACAAGAGGTAGAGGAGGAAGATACTTTCCGTTTTTACACACTATGGAGCAAATTTCAGCCTAGGGTGGTAATTTTTTTTGTCCTTTCAATTTTGGCCAAATTAATTGCAGGCTGAAATGAGAGTTTACACACGTAGTTACTGTCACTGATTTATAGGCACAATCAGGTGATTAGACAGCTAAACATTCTGATTTGCATCCACAATTAATTGCACCAGCAATTGATGTTAGGTGTGCAAATTAGCAGTTATTAAAATAAAAAGATGGTTTCATAAAATGCTTCATATATCGAAGACACTTTTTTCTGATTGTGAAATAGAAAGAAGAAAAAAAATGAGAGAAAATGCTTTCTTGTAGTGTCTTCCAAATATAACTTAACACTGCAATAATGACACATTCTATTTTATATATATATATACATATATGCTTTATGCAATTCCACTTTTGACACCCTCGCTAGAGTCCTATTGTCAGCAAATGACATATAGATACACTCAGAGGTAGTTCCTATTTTAAACAGTTTTTATATTTTGGTCTTCTGGTATTGTTTTGGTGGAAACTTACATTTTTATTTGAGTTCAACTTGCAAGTCTTATACACAATTATTCCAGAAAGATACAGGAAGAAGTGAAAAAGAGTTCTGCACTGGAAAATGTCTTAGGTTTATTGTGGGGTAAACTGATGTCAATGAACCTAAAACAGCAGATCTGAGCGTTACTATTTTGGTTGTGATTACATCCAGTCAACTACAGTCTTCTGCAAGTGCTTTACAAGTATACAAACACTGCCTATTCATGTCCCCAAAGAGCATTTAATTGACATGAAAAGAGATGACAAGGAGTGGAGAACTGAGTTAGAGCACCAGACAAAAAAGGAAAAGAAGAAGGAACAGAATGTGTGGTAACAGTACTGCCATCTAGTAAAGTAACTGCTTCATCTGATAAATCAAGATAGTCCATCAAAATTTCTTATTTCACTAGAAGAGTAAAAACAAATAAACACACACACACCCCCCCCCCCCCCCCCCCCCCCCCCCCCCCCCATTTCATAGCTCTTCTGTTTGCGGAGAAAAGCTTAGACATAACTGAGTTTCTTACAGATTTTACAGTCGCAAGACTATGAAACCTTTTCTATGAAGACAGGCTCAGAGAGTTAAGGTATTCATCCTGGAGAAGAGAAGGCTCCAGGCAGACCTTATTGTGGCTTTCCAGTACCTAAAAGCGGCCTACAAGAAGACTGGAGAAGGACTTTTTACAAGGGCATTTAGTGACAGGACAGGTGGGAATAGCTTCAAACTGAAAGAAGGTAGGTTTAAATTAGATATAAGGAAGAAATTCTTCACTGGGAGGGTGGTGAGATATTGGAACAGGTTGCCCAGAGAAGTTGTGAATGCGCCATCCCTGGAAGTGTTCAAGGCCAGGTTGGATGAAGCTTTGAACAACCTGGTCTAATGGAAGGTGTCCCTGCCCATGGCAGGGAGCTGGAACTGGAAGATCTTTAATGTCTGTTCCAACCCAAACCATTCTGTCAGTCTGTGATTCTATGAAATGTACTAAGAAAACGAAATATCAAAACCTTACTATTTTAATATTTTTTTTAAGACAGACCACTGCTTGGGTTGTCAATGCAGATTGAAACAAGCTTACTATTCAGAATTAAGACAATGGAGTGGGAAGCAATACTTCATATATCACTGATAATCAGATGGCAACATACATATTGTTATTTGAAGCTTAATGTCTTTTTTAACCTCTGGAGAAAGTGGAGAATGCTTCATCATTTAATTGTTTTAATTTATTTCAGTGCATCACACAGCACAGTACACAGATCATTGATGAAGCATAACTCTGAAGGATGTGAATCTGAGAAAAGATATTCTTTTTCCATTATATTAATGACAGAAGGTAGTAAAGTAAAAAATGAACAGAAAAGCAGGCTAGTCCTTGTGCTGTCCACAACATGTGTTCAAGAATCAAGAAAAATAGAAGTAAAAAATTACCTATATTTGTAGTTGTGGAAAAAATATATTTCTATTCTGGGGAAAGAGACATTAATTCTGATCAGACAGTGGCTCTCCAGTATTTCCAAAATCAAGAGTGCTCATTTTGCTCCAGGTTCACATACCAATCTTGAGGATGGTTAGCATAGACTAAGACACCTATATTGGAAATACTTCTAGTAACATGTCCCTTACACGATTAGAGCATGCCCAATTGTGCATTTAACTGAGATTGTGTTGGTGTAATTATATGATCATGCCCAATATTTATAGGAGTGCTTTCCATGTTTAAAGTGCTTTACAACTATTAGTTGATTAACTGGGATG